GGAAAATGGCGACTCAAATTATGAACATACGCAGGCAAATCATGTGCATTAAAAAAGAAGAAGAAATAGAAAGCATCATGAACCGACAAAGTAATCAATGCGACACTAACTGGGCTATAGCTCAGGTGGTGCACTCATGTACTTTTGAAATACAGACCCCGTGCGTTCGCCTCTGGTTGAAACAACTCTGGTGAAAGAAACGTAAAATCAATACAGTACAAACGTACAAAGCGGTTCTTACCACAGTCAGGATAGTGAACTTGCGAAAGGGCTTTCAAAAAAAAAAAAAAAAAAAAGAAAAGCAGTTCTCACAAACTTCTGATCAATTTAACTGTAGTATCTGTTCTGAAATACGGACCCCATGCGCCTCTGGGTGGACTCAAAGGCCTTTTGGCTAAAGATTAACTGTAGTAACTGTTCTGGAACTTCTGGTCAATTTAATATCTGGTCCGTGGTCCATCGGGGGGGGTTGGGGAAGGGCGGCGGGAAAGTGCCCTTCCCTGTCATTTTATAAATTTATATCTTTTCAGGATTTTCCATCTTCAATTTTCTTCCTTTTTGTTATTCCTTCCTTTTTTTTGTTCTGTAACTTTGTTTAATTATTTAAATATTTTCATAGGCTGGTCCCCAGGCGGCCCGGCTGGGGGAAGGTCGCCCGGGTACCCTCCCGGGCGACGCGGGCAGGGCAGGGTCCGGGCAGGGTCCCGGGCAGCCCCGACGCATAATATTAGGGGAAAAACAAATCTGGAATTGCAGTACAAGCATGGGTGGGGATGCGGGCCGCCCAGCTGGCTGGCGGGGGCCCAGGGGAGGTCCCAGGCGGCCTGGCCGAGCAGGGCACCCGGTTGGGGGCCGGGCCCCCCCAGTGCACTCACCTGTCTGGGGTTCTCGGATCCCCTTTTCGCTACTGTTGACCTCCCGCAGGCCTACCGGGTCCGACCGGCGCGAAAAACCATCCGTTGGGCCCGGTATGCCTGCGGGATTTTTGAAAATTTGTGACGACTCTGTGGCCGTCGATCCACCATGATCGACGCCCACAGAGCCGGTGGATCTTCCCGCCAACCTCCGATCGGCTGGGGTGTCTGCCACTCGCCCTCCAGCATGATAGGAGTTGCCCCTGTGCGTCGTCGGCCGTCGCCAACGCCATCGAGAGTCCTGCTGCAGCTGCTACGACGAAGGCCCGGACTGTCCTGCTGCTGCTGCTATGACGAAGGCCCCGACAACGAAGGCGCCGTTCTTCTTCTTCTTCTTCTTCTTCTTCCTGTCGTAATCGCTTAGGGTTGTATTGGACGGGCAGACGAAGGCCATGCTGCTAGCGTAACTGTTGCAGGTAACGACGAAGGCCCAGGTAACGACGAAGGCCCCGACGAACTTCTTCTTCTTCTTCTTCTTCTTCTTTTTCTTCTTCTTCTTCTCTCCTCCTTCTCCTCCTCTCGTCTTCTCCGTCTTCCTCTCGTCCGCCTCTCATTTTCATCTTCCTCAACCTTTCTTCTTCTTCGTCGTCTTCCCCTTCTCCCCCACTCGTTTTCTCTCTCCTCCTCTTCTTCTTCTTCTTCTTCTTCTTCTTCTCCTTCCCGTCCTTCCCTACTCCCTCCCTGCCTTTCTTCATACCCTACCGCCATACCCCGCCGCAGCCATACTTCTTCTTCTTCTTCTTCTTCTTCTTCTTCTTCTTCTTCCACTTCTTCTTCATCACATGGTAGGTCACGTGAGATACGACAGGACGTCCACCTAAACTTCTCGGCTCATGTTTTTCTTCTTCTTCTTCTTCTTCCCCTCCTCTCGTCTTCTTAGCCTTCCCCTCGTCCCCTTCGCGTTTTCATCTACCTCCACAACCTTTCTTGTTCTTCTTCGTCTTCCCCTCCTCCCCCACTCGTTTTCTTCTTCTTCTTCTTCTTCTTCTTCTTCTTCTTCTTCTTCTTCTAGTTCGTCGACATTTGGTAAGTCACGTGATACGCAACAGGTTAAAAAAAAAAAAAAAAACGAAGGCCATCCTCCTCCCCCTCCTCTGCTCATCTTCTTCGTCTTCTCCTTCTTCTCTCCTCGTCGTCCTCTCGTCTTCTTCTTCTTCTTCCCCTCCTCACCCTCTTCTTCTCTCCTCTTCTTCATCCCCTCCTTCCCTACTCCCTTCCTGCCTTTCTCCATCCATCCCTCCATCCCATTTCGCCATCCTCCGTCCTCCGTCCTCCATCCTCCGTCCTCCATCCTCCATCCTCCATCCTCCATCCATCCATCCATCCATCCATCCCATCCGCCATTCTCCACCATCCATCCCTCCCTCCCTCCATCCCATCTCGCCATCCTCCATCATCCCATCTCGTCATCCCTCCCTCCCATCTCAGGGATGTGTTCGAATGTGGATCGATATTGGCCATATGCAGCTGATATGCTGCGGTAGAAGTCATAGATTTCGTGCAAGTTGTCAGTCTGCAAGTCTTCTTCTTCTTCTTGTCCATCTTATCAGTCTTCTTCTTCTTTCTCCTTCTTCTCTCCTCGTCGTCCTCTCGTCTTCTTCTTCTTCCCCTCCTCACCCTCTCCTTCTCTCCTCTTCTTCTTCCCCTCCTTCCCTACTCCCTTCCTGCCTTTCTCCATCCTCCCATCCATCCATCCCTCCCTCCATCCCATCTCGCCATCCTCCATCCTCCATCCTCCATCCATCCATCCCATCCGCCATTCTCCATCATCCATCCCTCCCTCCCTCCATCCCATCTCGCCATCCTCCATCATCCCATCTCGTCATCCCTCCCTCCCATCTCAGAGATGTGTTCGATTGTCGATCGATATTGGCCATATGCAGCTGATATGCTGCTGTAGAAGTCGTAGATTTCCTGCAAGTTGTCAGTCTGCAAGTCTTTCTTCTTCTTCTTGTCCATCTTAACAGTCTTCTTCTTCTTCTTCTTCTTCTTCTTCTTCTTCTTCTTCTTCTTCAGAGACAGGGTCGAGAACATGCATGCAGCAGACATCTTAGCAGCAGGCAACAAACATGCAGAGCCCCCAAGTTCCCCAACCCAGTACATATCAGATGACATACATTCAGCATACAGTAGGCAGCATACATGCAGAGCCCCCGACCCCCAGACACCCCCCAACCCCAGTACCCCCCCCCCATCCCCCAAAACCAAAAATTTATTGCGGAATCGGGGTCCTCTCGCCGAGGGCAGAACGACCCCGTTTTCAAAAAAAAAATAAAAAAATTCTGGGCGTTTTTTTGGCCCGCCCGGTTTACCCGGGCGGCCCCCCGGGCCCAACCGGCCGGGCGGCGTCCTCACCCAGGTACAAGCAACTTTTGGCTGAGCGGCCCCTCAAAATTCCTTATTAATTTTAAGGTAATTCCTTATTAATTTTAAGAAGTGTACAGAATAGTATATGAGTTAGCAGACGGTCCTTCAGGAAGGCGCTCAGTGAGGAGAGTGGTTTGTTTTTCGAACGGGATCTATCCGTTTTAGGGGGCTCAAGACTTAGGGTTTAGGGTTTAAACTTAAAAGTTTAAAGAACAGCATGTGAGTCGGCAGGCAGTTGTGCACGAAGGAGTTGAGTGAAGAGATGGGATGATTTTTGTGAAAAATCGAAAATTCCAATCAGTCGGTAGTGACACATACATCATGTTCAGTTCCGCCGTACTGCGTTTGCTCCAGAGAAAAAGGTTGTGCGCTTCAGCATAGTTCCCTTGCACAAGCTGCAGGCGAGCTTGGAAGAACCGATGGTAACCTGTCGCGAGGACTGTTTAACAAGTTCATAGACATGGCATCAGGTGATATGGATTTTMMAWAWWTWTTTTTWT